GGGGTTAGTGGTTAACTCACTTGCCTTGTACCTCCAGGGTTGGGGGGGGGCAGGGGGGTACTTTTTTTTTTTTTTTTTTTTTTACACATGTCCTTTATATACATGTTCAGGAAAAACCTCCTCCTCATGCATGGGTCATTTATATTGTTTCCTAAACCTATTATCCTGTACATCATTTGTAGCTTTAATTCATACCTTTATAACTTTAAATATAATTTCAGGTAAATCATCTGAAACATATGGGACTCTGATGTACCTTTAAACCTTTACTTCAATAATTAAGGCTACACCACATCATACATACACATACATACAGACTACAGGTACCACAAAAACGTAACGGTACCACACCAGCAATAAGGGAAAGGTACTGTTTAGTACCTTTGTGTCTGAGAGTGTAGACAAGGACGGAGCTAGAAAACAAAAAAGACCCAAAGAGAGAAGTGAAACTTTTTATCCTGAGCTTCTCTCATGTCCAGACTTCCGCTCAGAAATAAAGGTAGGCTACCAAAGGGACCAAACTGTAAACTGCACCTTTCCGGTTTGCCTTTCTGTCTTTAAAACTGGACTTCACTGGACAAAGATATGTAACAAACACACACAAAATGTCCGCCTGATGATGTCACACAAACAGCAAAGAGTGAAAAGTACTGTTTAGTACCTTTTATTTCTGAACGTGGCAGCAGATTTTAGATCATCTGAGTTCCTGATGCCTTTGTTCACACACAGTCTGGACCCTATAAAGAAGCTCAGGAAGCATTTTTTTTTAACTTTTTTCTTCTTTCTTTTGGTTATTTTTGTTTTGTACATCTGTCATTGTCTTCACTCTCGGAAATAAAGGTACCAAAGTGTACTTTTCCTTGTTGTTTCCTTGGGCCTTGTGTCGTGGTACCATCGAGTGTGCACTTTTTATACTGATACACCTTTAAAGCTTTACTCTAAATATGCAGATTTTGATTGCTCTCGGGTGTAACAGGTTTATTTGTTGATTTAATTAACTTTTTGAGGAAATGTTTTGTTTTTTTGTTTTTTCATTGTTCAACAGAAGTTTAGCCTGTTTTTTTTTTTTTTGAATTAAAGAAACTTCCATCAAAACATGATAAACTTCATGATACAAAAATGTTTGCATGGCTCTAGAGATTTTTTTTTTCTAGACAATAAATTACTAGTACATGATTTATTTAGGATGACTTCGTTTAAAAAAAAAAAAGTCAGGACACTATGAAGCTCAGGGTAAAGTTTGTCTTGTAGTTTGTTACAGGATGCACACATTACACATTACTTTATCTATTTTTACAAATATAATTAGAAAGTAGAAACACTTCTTTTTTTTTTAACCCAGAAACCATGGGGAAGGGAGAGGGGGAGGGGGTGTAAACTTTTGCACTGTGTGTCCTAATAGTGCAGGTGATCTGATTTCGGTAGCTCCAGCTGCGGTAATGGTGGGGAAGTGACTGTTACGTGAATACACAAACGCCGGGCCTCATTACTGTTAAAGTGCATAATTGGGCTCCATTTTGTTGCAGTTTGCTTCTCCAGCTTCCTTAATGAATCACCGTCCGGCGCGCGCGCGATGAGCTAATAACTAACTCCGGTTAGCACCTCGTGATTAAATGCAAACAGGCCATCATCGATGCCCATTCTCACGCGCGCTGAACGGAGCGGATGAGGGCGCGAGAGGGTGTGAAAACGCCTTCACACACACACACACACACACACACACACACACACACACACAGTTTCTCCCCTCCGCCCTCGCGCGCATAATGAAGAAATCTCCCTGAAAAGCGACACCTTGCAGCAGCATGCACCTTAACGGTAAACTGTCAACTCATTTTGGAAACACTAATACACACACACACACACACACACACCTCCCAGTGCCATTTGCTTGTGTATATTGTGATGGAGAGCTGAATGGATATTTAACGGCTCCGTTTCGGTCTGTCTCACATGTCTGTTTAGACTCACGCTGATAAACCATTTGGTGTTAATGCAACGAGAGCGTGAGAAAGAACGCCCACACACACACTCACACACACACACACACACACACACACACATGAAAATGATGGAGGAGAAATAAAACAATTTCATGTGCATGCTGTTTATACTGGAGCAGTGACGTGTCAAGTGAAGGTTCCTCTACTATTTTACTGAAATGAGGCTTTCCGCTGATGCTGTAGGAACCTTTGCAACCACTTTGCTTCCTGATTCGTAGAGACATTTCTCAGGGTTCTCAGGGTTCCACCAAAAAGAGAACCCGAACTCTGTACACGCTTGTTCCCCGATACAATAAAAATCTAACACCAGTGACTCTGAAAGTCAGCCTTGAATGCTTCTCCTGGATCGTTGCTCCTGACGGTTCCACTGCACTCCTGTATCTCCACTCAGCCCCAGTGCACTGCCCTTTTACTGCCAGAGGAATGCTCACTGGAAACGCAGCACACCTCAGACACTGCGGATCTCCAGATATGAGACTCCACCACAAACCCCTTCACTGATCCTGAGATTTTACAGGTCCTGCTGTAAAGCTCAGGGCTTCAGGGTGCTTCTGCGAGCAGGTC